AATGTACAAAAATAAATAATGAACATTTAAATAATAATTACATGATTATTTAAATGATAAATGAATAAATGTTAATATTGAAAATATTAATTAAAGTTTGATTGAAATAAATTTCTAATATTTGAAATGAATAATTAAATATTTACCTTTGCTTGTTCAATAAATAATTTAAATAATTGATTCATATAAGTAATTAAATCAAATAATTTAAATGAACAGTTGAAACAAATAAATGAAAAACAATTGGGAATAAATAATTAATTGGAACACACAAAAATAAATAATGAACATTTAAATAATAATGAAATGATTATTTAAATGATAAATGAATAAATGTTAATAATCAAAATATTAATTAATATTTAATTGAAATAAATTTCTAACATTTGAAATAAATAATGAAATATTTGTGTTTGCTCTTGTTCAACAAATAATGTAAATAATCGATCAATATAAATAATTAAATCAAATAATTTAAATGAACAATTGAAACAATTAAATGAAAAATAATTTGATAAAAATAATCAAAGTAAGTAATTAAAATGTAGATAAACAATTGAAATAAATATCTAACATTTAAAATAAATAATTAAATATTCGCTTAATAATTAAAATAATTATTGAATAAACAACTAAAGAAAAATATAACAAATAATTACTTATTTACGTTTAAATGTTCAATAAATAATTTAAAGAAAATAATTAAATATACAATTATAATAAATAATTAAAATTAAGCATTCAATAAACAATTAAAATAAATGTTAATAAACAAATAAACAATCGAAATAAATAATTTAGATAAACAATTGAAATAAATAATGAACATTTAAATAAAAATAAACAATTTAAATAAGTAAGAAATATAAATTTTCAAAATAATTTATTTAAATATGTAATTAAATATAAATAATCAAATTTAATTAAATAAAGAATTGAAATAAATTTCTAACATGGATTAAAATAAACTATGAAATAAATAATTTTATAAAAATTAGTTTTTCCCTTTTTTATAAGTTGTTGTGTAATTTTTAATTCATTTTCTTTATTATCTGCTATTTCGTGCGTATATTACTTACAGTTCGGTTAGTTGAATTTTGTGACATTATGTTTCAAATGTTCTAACATTTGAAATTTTATAGGATGGATTACTATTTGAACGCAGCCTTAAGACGGGTTCCTAGCAAAGTTTCGTCGAACTGTAACTTTGCTAATTTCACAGCATTGTTAGATTCACTGGATGAGGAGCACGCAAAAATATTACGTCGATCCTGTCTATGGCCCCTGTATTCACTACGATCGAAACAGTTCTTTGGACAGTTGATCGATTCATTATTGTGTCGGCTGCTTAAGCCAGTTGATGGAGATGCCCTCCACTTTGATCTTAGGGGCAAGGTTGCTACATTTTCTATATTCGAGTTTGCCCTCATCACTGGATTGAGATGTACGGGCGAAGAGGTAGCGAGGGCCAATATTTCGACAGACAAGAGGCTGCTAAATGATTATTTTAATGGGCACACGACAGTGACACTGACATAGTTAGGAGATGCATTCAGGGGATTCAACCAGATGTTCGACAAGTTGAAGTTGGAGATGGTGTTTATACTAGAGACATACTGAGATGTCATCATAAGAAGACGTCGATTGACATCTTTCATTTGCAAGTTGTTGATGACATCGATACGTTCAACAACTATTCGTGGGGGGAGAGATGTTTTTCGATACTTTACACGTCTTCAGGAGGGGGCATTCAATGTCTAAGGGAGATAGGTCCTAGCGTAAGTACGATGTATATGGCCTGCCATTAGCTTTGCAGGTAAATGTTTAACATAACAGGTAAATGTTTAACATAATTAGTTATCCATTTTTTTATTAAATTGTACATTTAATAATCGTAATTGTTGCAGATATGGGTTTACGAGACTGTTCCCATCCTGGATGGTCGGTATGCGAAGAGAGGGGATACATGCATCCCTCGGATGCACCGCTGGCGAGCACAAGACAAACCCCTTGCAAAACAGCTATCAGTTATCCCAGACGATCCTGAGGTACGTATTATATATTTGCGCTTTCTGTTGTATGTCATTTTCGAAACTGGATACGTGGTCAGTAATTCGATGAAATGTCAATATGTCAGCTTGAAGTCCTCATTGAGCTGACACCATCGATCGAAGAGGAGGATCAGACTTATATTCGTGAGTTGTTGACAGATCGTGCTGCTCGAGAGAGACCTGAGTCCATCGTCGATCGGGACACGGTATGTTAATTGAATATAATATGTTGATTGTCGTTATAATTTTTTAATTAAATTATTGATTTGTAATGTTTCTTTTTTTAGGAGCGTCGTCGACTATCACCTCTGCCGAGGGTGTACCATTCCTCGAGGATGTCGCCTCCGCCTAGGGTGTCACATTCCTCGAGGATGTCGCCTTCGTCGAGAGTGTCCCCTCCCTACATGCGATCACCTCCGCCGAGAGTGTCACCTCCCTGCATGAGATCACCGTCTCCTGCGTCCGGACATCTCCCACGTGGATCAACTGCACGTAGTCGGAGTGCTTCCATCGATGATATGTTCCAACTTATGATGGAGATCAGAGGCGACGTAGCTGGCTTACGAGGCAAAGTAGCTGACTTACGACGTGATGTCGAGATGGTACAGGTCGATTTAGGAGACCTTTATGCTGAGGTCGTAGCGATACAGGGCGACATAGTAGGCTTGCGTGGGACTGGCGAGTATCGGGATAGAGGGGTGGCGGAGGGACAGGCAGCTATCAGGACGGAGGGGGTGACAGAGAGACAGGTGGCTATCGGGACAAAGGGGCAGGCGGCTATCAGGATGGAGGGGGTGACGGAGAGGCCGGTGGTTATCAGGGTCGAGGAGGTCAGACGGGGTATGTTGACTCGTTGTGGGCATCGGATGATGCATTAGATTCATATCTCGATGGCCTGATAGATATGGAGATGGAGATGAGATGGAGGATCAGGCCCCGATAGAGACGGAGGAAGAGGTCGGGAGGGTACCAGTCGGGAGGGTACAGGAGGAGGAGGAGGTACTCGAGACGGTGGTCGGGAGGGTGTCGGAGGTAGAAGTCGTCAGGGTGTCGGAGGAGGAGGGGGTCGGGAGGGTGTCGGAGGAGGAGGTCGTCAGGGTGTTGGAGGTGGAGAGGGTACCCAAGGTGTTGGAGGAGGAGGTCGTGAGGGTACCAGAGAAGGAGGGGGTATCTGAGGCAGAGAGGGTACCATATCAGACGCTAGACTCGTCGGACGTAGTTTTTGTGTCGGAGGGGACGAAAGAAATGGTCCCGATGGTAGGCGAGGGAGTGTCAGATATTGGGAGGGTTTCACGTACTGTTGATGTGCCGAAGCTAGCGGTCGGCAAGAGGCCGAGGGAACCATCATAATACATCGTTTCTCCGTTTACCGCGGAGGTGAAAAAGAGATGGTTCGTCGACGGCACGCACTCGAATTTATTCAAGAAGGTGGACCACACCAAGTGGAAAGCGTTCGAGGCGGAGTGAAGAGCACTTATGCCCGGGTAAGTATTGTATTATTCGTTAAGGATTAGTACATTACGCAGATACTGACACATCTATAGTTTTACTTAACAATTTCTTTTCTTAATTTTTAGAGTCAATCGCAGGATTGCTCATAAGATGATCTCGGACGCTTACAGGTGGTTTCACGACATCACAACTTCGAGGGCTTGGCTCGCCGATGATGTAAGTGAAGTAATAATCTTGTTATTTATTACGTATACATATTTTTTAGTTTTACATTTATGAAATTAAATATCTCCTTTTTTAATTGGTGCTTCCTAGTGCAATATATTGATTTCGCCATGGATTTGCTACGAGATCGAGCTGAATGACATCCAAGATCATTCAACATTCCTGACGGACTCATATTGAACACTGAGTTCATACGTGTCATTGATATTAAGTACCAGACGTTGTAAGCTATGGGTAGCGAATACATGGTGCCTACATACATGGTGGAGTGGGTCGTAGGGATGTGGCCGAGTGTCGGGGGAAAGTCATGGGAGGGTTGTACGCATTTGTACATTTCGATGTGTGTCAATCATCACTACATTACAGTGGAGATTGTATTCGCCGACTTGACTATGTATGTGTATGATCCCGATCATTCATGCCTGACACAAGGTCAACTCGAGCAAATTCCGGATTCGATGTCTGTGATCGTCCTCATGCTGGCTAGACGAGCGAACATTACTGTGCAGGATAGACTAGCCACCGTGCAGGACACGATGACGGCGAGACAACAAATATCGTAAGTGTTCATTATTTTATTTTTGTAATTTACAGCTTACGTTCTAATTAGAAAGTGATGTGCTAATACAATATTTTGTAATTGTAGGGATGATTGCGGCATATTCGCTATCAAGTACATAGAATTTTTTAGTGTAGTACAGAAGGTTAATGCAATCAACCAGGTGTGGATACAAAATTGAAGAAATAAATTAGCTTATGATTTATTTGAATTTAATGGTGATTCGTAGATATTGAGCCGTGTTTCTTTAAAATAATTGTACATATTGTAACGTTTAAATATTGTATATTTCATTCATTCATTTATTTATTTGTAATTACGAAATAATTGTAAAACATATTTTATTTTTTAATATTTAATATTTAATTTTTAGTTTATGTGTTTATTTAAATATTTCATGACTTATTTATAATGTTTGGGTATATTATGGAGAACGCACTGAGTTTTAAAAAAAGGATTAACTTCAAATATTACGAAACTAATTAATGAAATATTAAAATAAAAAACTAAATCTAATAATTAACATAAATAATTAACATTAAGAATATGCGTGAATAATTAATATCAATATTATAAATAATGTTACATATACTTCAATTATACATCTGTTACGTTGTTATGCAGAGGGATCTGACTTGTACAAAATCTTTTAGTATGTCCTGTTGCACCGCACCTGCCGCACTTACGAGGTCGGGAAAATTCTCTGATCGATGTTATTCTAGACTACGTGTACATCCAGGAGTACGTAGGCCGACTGCTGGTGACAACAAGTTATTCAATGAGAGAATGTGATCGGAAACTTCCCACTTGGCTTCATTTGGTACAGGAAATATGGTTTCGGCAAATGCTACTCTCCAAGAACCAATCGTGTAATAAGCACTGCATAAGGTGTGTGGTGGAATTCCTCTATATATAGCCACCGCCAATGTATGTGTACAGGGAAAACTCTCCAACTTAAACTGTCTACACGTGCACGTGTTATCATTCAAGTCGACGATGTATCCGAAATCGCGTGCACATCTCGTGGAGAAGCGAAACTTATTTAGTGGATCTACATATACCTTCCTTGACACCTCTAGAGTCTTGAAGAGTTTATCTTCCTGAGGCGGGTTTAGCACACTTGTGCAACTTTGTGATTCCTCACAACGATCATGAAACCACTGTTGCAGCTTGTCACGAATGTTATCAAGCATTGCGAGAATTAGTAACTCTCGATCCTTCTTAAATAAGGCATTGAGTGACTCTACATTGTTCGACGTCATCATGTTGTATCGATATCCTGGAAAATGTGATCGTGCCCAATGTTCGATCCCCATCTGTGTCAGATACTCCCATGCATCATAGGATTTACTTTCAATTTCAACCATAAACTTTTCAAATTCTTAAAAACTGTAAGTCTCTGCAGCTCTCCTAAACAACGTAATGATGCCTTTGCCTCGATACTTGGTCTTCAGATTTCCTTGTATATGGTACATACAATAACCATGATGTGCCTCGAGGAATACTTCGGCGATACCCTTAATTATTGACTGCCCTTGGTCGGTTACGAATGCAAGGTTCTCGACATCCCCAATTACTTCCATCAACTTCGTAAAAAACCAACGCATTTTCAAATCATTTTCTCCATCAACTATGCCGAATGCAAGAGGGTAAATTTGGATGTTAGCATCTTAACATATTGCAATAATCAACTTGCCCCCGTATCTTGCCTTGAGGGTTGTACCGTCGACTAGGATTAAGGATCGCATTGCGTTTCGAAATCCTTGAACGCATTGTCCAAGAGCCATAAAGAAATACTTGAAGCGATTCTCATCATCCTTCTCAATAAAAAATGCCGATTCAGTATTAATTCTTCCCATGTTATAGCAAAACTTGACCAATTAAATAAACAATAATCATAATTTAAATAATTAAATAAACAATACTAAAAAACTGAAAAATTAACAATTGAATTAAATAATTAATTACATATAAGATAAAGAATTGATAAATAATTAAATAAACAATTGAAATTGATGATTGAATTAATTAGATAACTATTAAATAAACATCTAAAAAAAGAAATACTTGGCCAATTTAGCATAACTTTCCTCGATCGAACCCATCAAGTCCTCCAATGCGCATTCTTTGGCCTTCCAAGCCTTCTGATAGCTTATGACCACCCCGTACTCTCGAGGAATGTCATTAATAATATTCGAAGGTCTGTAGATTCTTCGTGGGTCCTAAAACTTGTATATTACTTCTTAACCAATTAACCATGATCGGGCTTGCCTGTGATCATTTCGACAAATACCCATTTCGCAAATATGTTCTCGTGCATACTTACGAACCACAAAGAGCTCATTCGTGTCCATTTTCGTTGCTCGCAAACACCAAAGGCAACTATCGTCAACGCAGATAATTGTGTAAGTCGACTTGTTTGATTTCTTCAATTTAAACTCAAAATTGGGTTTCAAAGTAATCCGGTGAACAGCTTCCTGCAAATCTTTCTTCGTGTCAAACAGTTGCTCGACATACAAATCTTCATCATCGGGGACTATACGCGAATAACTAGAGGACCGTGCACTCAGTCCAGCCTGTGAGCTCCCACTCAACGCATGTCTCAAACGGGATAAAGCAATCAAATTCTCATTTGTAAAGTCATTATCTCTTTCGTTGTCTTGAACTACCGAGCAAATTCTATGTGTAACAATGAGATCATGGTGAGAAGCAACTATCTCTAGAACAGCTACAACATCATCACGCATTATTTCCACTGTGTCCCAAAACTCATTCACATTACGATCCCCTCCATCGAGATCTTCGTCTTCACTCTCGGGGACATTCTTCTTCATCAAAGTTAAGCAAATAAGAATCACACGTTTCTGGTTTATTTCAATTAAAACCTTCATTTCAATTTCAGAAGTAACCATTATAGGTGGAATTGAAATAAATGTATTCTCGCCGATTAGAAATCCTAATTCTATGGCATATTCAGAGGGATCAACTTTTAGCAAGTTATGTATCTCATTGTACATTTCTACATATGATGTACTTGATGTTATTACAATTGCAGTACAACCATGTCTTTCACTCATCCATTTTCACACCCATCGATCATTGTCATTATTTTCAAATTCACCAAAGTAACAAATCGGGATAGCAGCTGATCTCATATCTGCATTAGGAAATATCATTTATTAAAAAAATTGTAATTACGAGAATAAAAGGACGAAAAAAAATATGACACAAGGAAAAAAAAACGACGTGTCCGGGCCGGCTGTAGCATCCAGGCAGGCTGTTAAACATCCTGCCCGAACACTTTTTGGTCGGCTGTCTTCTACATTTTGCATCTAAACAGATGAATTTTTTCCTCGTTTTTGCTAAAAAAATATACATCCATTTAAGACTGTAATATTTCATTTTTCTAAAATCATATGTTGAAATAAAATTTAATTATTCAAACAATGTACTAATTTAACTAAAATGAAATTAAACATACGTATTTATACTTACCAATTTCAATTGCCGACTGTGAGTAATATTTTTTTGTTGAGTCTTTGATAATTTTTTGAGATTTCAATGTTCAAGCAGCTGGAAGAGGAAATTTCTTTTTAACTGTGTTGAAAAATCTGATAAGGAAAGTGATTTCGTTTTGAAATTTAAGTGAGATTGTTTGGATTTATTAATTTTTTAAAGAGGGTATTATTGTCTTTTGGGTAAATGATATGTTTTTGTAATTACAACACATAATAAGGGCAAAAATGACGTTTACTCTTCAAAAGGCTCTTTTGGTGAATGGCGAAAAAAATTTGGTCAATGTAAAAATTTAGTATTTTGACTGGGTGCTTTTTAAAAGTACCCCTCTCACTCAAGTGCACAATGAATCTATTTCTTTATCGAAAGTTGACATGTCAACCCAAAAAGAAAACAATTAATGGTACTCAATTCAATTATTTATTTTTTGATCTTCAGTTATCAGAGTAGGCTTCAAGGGCAAGGTGTGTACAGTGTGTGTGCCTATGCATGGACTGCACGAGTTGCCTATAAGCCCGGTTTCATAAGCACGAGCACTCTTTGTCATTTCCATGGGGAAAGCGTACTTCAATTTTTAATTCTTTATGCTCCAAAGTTTATGGTAACAATCAATTAAATTTATACCTCAAATTGCTTCGAGAATCGTGCTTGTCATCAACTAACAACCATATAAAGAAATCTATTATAGTTAATAGTCTATCCACAATGATTTCGTGTATAGAAACTGATGTGATCCAGGAAGCACAAGTACCAAAGTCAAGACCAGAGTCGAGCCCGAGGAAAGTTTTGTTGATAGTCGAGGGGTCGATGACGCGATCGAGGGCCAACCGCGTGAAAGAGGCGATGGGATTGCTCATCAAATCAACGGTTGATGAAACAATGTTCGGGATGCAAAATGGAGCAAATTTCGTGTTGGGGACGAAGGCCGAAGAGTATTGTATCAATGTGTTTAAAGTTGAAAAAAACAGAGCTAGAGCATTAAGCCATGCGGCCGCACAGGTCTAAAGTCCTGTGGTCGCATACACCCAACAGAAATCCCAAAGTCGCAGACCAATTGCACTATGCAACCGCATGCTCTAAAGCTATGCGGCCGCATAGGCCAAGTCCGAGACGAGTTTTTCCAAATTTCGCATTTTATTCCTTATTTTAATAGAATTTCATTATTAGTAGATTTTTACCATAATTAGGCTATTGTGGACGAATTTTGTATTATTCTTAGATATTTTTCCTAGTTTACTTAGATTATCTAGAATAGTATAAATAATTTATTCCTTATTGTAAAATATTACAACTCTCATATTATTGAATATTGTTCGTGAGGCATTAATTGCTTTCTCTCGTTTTTCGTTGAACAACTTGTGAATTTATCAAGATTAATCTTGTGGCGTTCAAATCAACAGGGTGAGATTCATTTAAATTGCGTAATCAAGAGGTCCGCATATTGTCGGCGATTCGGGTTGCTTGATTCCAGTTTATTGGTTTTAATCCAAAACCTTGTCTTTGGCTTTCTTGGGTTTGATTCTCAATTTGTTGTGGGTTTGATAGTGATTGCGCTACGCGGGTTCGAATTAGTTGGTATCAGAGCTTAGGCTCCAATTCAAGGTTATATCCCTTTTAAATTCTTGTTGAGTCTTTGTTTCTAGTTTTTCTTCGTTCTTCGCGTTCTTCTGTCCAGTAAAATTCTTGAGTCTTTGATCCGAATTCTTTTCGTCTAAAACTTTAGAAGTTGTTTTTGGGTTCATTTAGAATCTAAAACAACTTTCGTTTCTTTCGTTGGTGTTGTAGTTAAAGTCCGGGTCTTAAAAAATCGTACTGTTCATCGTACAGTAGCAGAAAAAGAAAAAAGTCAAAAAAAGTACTGTTCCCATCCGTACTGTTCAAGTCTACTATTCAAAAAAATTATTTATTTGCAAATTAGTCCCTTGTTTTCTTAAATTGTCTTTCTTAGTCCAAATCAATTCAAGAACCACTTTCTTGAATTTCAAAACTTCCAAATTCGAGTCCTTCTTTGTTTTGTAATCTCACTCGCATCCAGTTTGGATTTCACGAGACTAATTCTTTGGTTGAGTTCCAATTTGTTTTTTGAAGCACGTAGTGAAAGCAACGAGCGGTAAAAGGCAGAGTGGTAAGATCAATTGAGGGTAAAAGCCAAATTGAGTGAATTCCGAGTGAACTTGGTGAGGCAAAAAAAGTTAGAATATAGGATGTCTGACATGGAAGGAACACATTCTGGCAGGGACAATGATCAACTTAACATGAGGCAGAATTGATACTGCGGATGGAAAGGATGATGGGGGACGTGAGGGATCAGTTGGATCGACAGGATGTGCGGTTAGACAAGCTTAATCCAATGCCTGCTAATCCTCGACTGGGAGCCAATAATGCACGGGGGAAAGTTAGGATAGATGATCAGGATGACTTTGAGGCTGATAGTGGATTTGATGAGGACGCACTTGTGGATGCGAAGGTTGGAAGGGTTAGGAATAGAGGCGTTAGGCAAGATGTGAGAGGTATGAATCTTGGTGGAGACGAGTTGGATGGTAATTTGGGAAATATTAAAATGACCATTCTTTCAAAGGGAGGAGTGATCCGGAGGCATACTTAGAGTGGGAGAAGAAGATTGAGTTGATATTCGATTACCACAATTACTCAGGGGAGAAAAAGGTGAAAATTGCGATTCTTGAGTTCTTCGACAAAACAATAACTTGGTGGGATCAAGTGGTGACGATGAGGTGGAGGATTGGGG